TCCCGAACCCCAAGTGGTCACTACTTCGGCGTCTTGACCCTGTGGTGGATGCCCAGGCTCAACAAGGAACGATTTTCCTGCGGCGCAGAAGCTTTTGTTCTGCGCGCCTTCAACGCCCCCCCCTTCTGGTCGACCATGCGGCGACATATGCGTGTACGGTTAGGTCGGGCATGTCCTCCTACAGGCGGGTTTTCGACGAACAATTAGGGACAGTCAAACAATTGCTCCAACAGTGTCGATAACAATCAACAGAACGTCCCCATATTTTTTTGTGTGTGACTATTCTTGAATATTCTTCTTGTGTAGGGACATGCCCGACTTAAGTGTACGGTCAGGAACTGCTGCTTACCTGGTTGACCCACAAGGGGGTCCAGATGAAAGGGGGTGGTGCAATGGATTTGCGGCAATTGTATTGCACATGTCTTGCGCTTGAGAACTGTATCGCGTTGTGTTGCAACTGATGTGTTGCACGCGAGAATCCAGCAATGTATTTACGCTCTGGAATGTATTGCACGCCCCAAGTCTATTGCAACCCCACAAATCGATTGCACCAGATCTACTGCACCACCCCCTTGTCGCTGGACCCCCCCATTGGGCCAGCCAAAGCTTATCCTGCCGCGGCGGCGGCCCAGGCGACACGTTGTGCCCTGCGAGCGGAGAGCGCGTCTCTCCGCTCTGCGGGGCGGGAGCAAAGCTCGGGACGTTGGAGGAGGAGGAGGAGGAGGAGGAGGAGGGAGGAGGAGGAGGAGGAGGAGGAGGGAGGGAGGAGGAGGAGGAGGAGGAGGAGGAGGAGGAGGATGATGATGATGATGATGAGGAGGAGGAGGAGCGTGTCTCGCCGAAGCATGGTGGGTCAGAGCCAGCGGCGCGACGCGCGACGTCAGAACTCCTGACCGTAACTCCTCTGACCTCTCCCATGGTGCTTTCCGACCAGGATTCCGACCCATATGTTCAACGCATTTGAAGCATCAAGACTGTTGTTTCCCTGCGTTTCGGACTCTAAGAGGCCCTTGCTGGGCCCCGGGACCGTCAAAAACGACTCAGGATGAGAAGCTGGTCCCAGGGAGCGGGCCGAGACTACAAAATATCTCGACATCGGATCTCTGGCTAAGTCTCCGAACCTTTCCTGGGGTGCGTTCCGACCAGGATTCTGAGGAAAATCCAGCCGTGGCGACGCGGGACCTGGAGGTCAGACGTTGCGAAGCAAATTGCAACATCGCGAGAAATCACGGCCAAAGCTCTAAATCCCACCTTTCTGCAACATCCTTCGGGCGGGATCGATCAGTGATGGTCCCGGGGCCCGAAACCGGGCGGGATAGCCTGGCGTGAAAATGCAACGCCCGGATCTCAGGAAGATCTCCAGGACGACTGGCGGTATCGGTACCTTCCCAAAGACCCGATGTCCAAATCCCACCAGCCCTTCAGGGCATAGGTGGTCTAACGCGCCTCCTCGTCCACCCCTCCCTCTTCTTCCCCTTCGGGGAGGGGTTTATCATTGGGATAAACACCCCCTCCTCAACCCAGAACCATGCGCACACCATGGGGGCACCCCCCACGCCATCCCTATCAAAAAACAATACAAAACACACTCCGCCTCTACATCGGAGCATGCGCAATCAACCCGATGCGGGCCCCCCCCCTACCATCCCTGTCAAAAGACGATACAGTACACTTTGGGGCAAAGTCTGGAGTCATGTTCGTGAGGCCCGCGGACACTTTGTATTGTTTTTCGGCAGGGACGGCGGGGGGGTCAGCATTTTGCCTGCTGCGCGCAGGGCTACCATCCCTGAGAAACACACAATGCAAAATGCACCTCGCGGCTAAATGTGGATAGTGCGCGGCCACCCCGCGATCAGTGTCAAGTGGTTTTTGTCAGGGACGGCGGGGGTGGTGGCGTGTGGCCTGCTGTTCGCAGGTTCACCAGACACAATGATGGGCATTGGTTTTCGACCAGGATGGTAATGGTGGGGGCCGACATGTTTCCCGATGTGTGCTGTCACGTGCGCAGGCGCACCTGGCACTCTCCTGCACGTGACCTGGACGTGGCGCACCTGGCACGGCTGGAGAGAGCATCTGGCGCACTAAGTGTGCCTGGCACGCTCGGGTCCCAGGGGTGCCTGGCGCGCGTGGCGCGCCTGGCACGCGTGGCGCACCTCGCCCCAGCCTCGCGCACATGGGCTAGGTTTTGGTTCCCAGTAGCTGTCAAAGACGACCGCGGAATATGCTGAGTTGGGTGTTACCTATGTGTTGGGAGGGCGGGTGGGAGTGAGCTAGATGTTTTGCTATCTGGAGGTTCAACCAGCCAGTACAGCGCTTCGTGACCCCATAGGGAGCTCCACCGAAGCCCCCAATGGTGCCGCCCACATGCGTCCCCACATCCAATTTGGCATTTTCGCCCGCCCAGTACAGCGTTTCGTTGCCCAATAAGGAGCCCCACAGAAGCCCCCAGTGGGACCGCCCGCATGCGTCCCCCGCACCCAACTTGGCATTGTCACCCACACAATACAGCGCTTCGTGGCCCCATAGGGAGCCCCACCGAAGTCCCCAGTGGGACCGTCCGCATCCGTCCCCAGCACCCGATTTGGCATTTTCACCCACCCACTACAACGCCCCGTGGCCCCATAGGGAGCTCCACCGAAGCCCCCAATGGGACCGCCCGCGTGCGTGCACCATGCCCAATTTGGCATTTCAAGCCCCACAGGGAGCTCCACCGAAGCCCCCAGTGGGACCGCCAGCACGCGTCCCCCACAGGGAGCTCCACCGAAGCCTTCAGTGGGACCGCCCGCGTGCGTCCCCCATACCCAATTTGGCCTTTTTCACCGACCCAGTACAGCGCTTCGTCATCGGAAACGAAAAGTCGAGAAATCAAAAAGGCATTGCTTTCCCATAGGTTTTGAAAGGATTGTGGCCTCTTCGGGGCCTCCTTGGGGAGCTCTTTGGCCATTTGGAGCCGTCTTGGAGCGGTCTTGGGGTCTCCTTGGAGCATCTTGGGCGCCATCTTGAGGCATCTTGGGGTATCTTGAGCCATCTTGGAGCTCATCTTGGGCTCTCCGAGGCGCTCTTGGAGCCATCTTGGGCCATCTTGGGCGCCCAAACCCCTCGGGGGACCCCCCGTCCAGATCCAGGGGAGGGGGTAGGGGAATGGGTCAAGACACCAAGATGGCTCCGAGAGGGCCCAAGATGGCCCCAAGAGGGGCCCAAGAGAGCCTCAAAACGGCCCCACGAGCGCTCCAAGAGCGCCCCAAGAGGGGCCCAAGAGGCGATTCTATGCACTCTTGAATGGCGACGGTAATTGGGGAACCCCCCTTTTTTGATCGATGTCCTCCAAGATGGCCCGAAGAGCAATAGCGCCCCGAGAGGGCCCCAAGAGGCGCCCAGACCGCCCCAAGAGGCGCCCAAGATGCTTCCAAGAGGCTCCCAAGAGGCCCCCACGAGGCTTCGAGAGGATCCCCGAGGCACCCAAGATGCCCCCCCCAGACGTTACCAAGGGGCCCCCAACAAACTCCCAAGAGACATCCGAGGAGGCTCTTGTGTTCGTCCTTTTCCCCTCCTCCTCCTCCTCCTTCTCCTTTTCATCCTCCTCCTCCTTATCCGCCTACTCCTCCTCCTCCTCCCTCCTCCCTCCTCTCCCTCCCCCACCTCGGACGGCTTCCCCCGCTCTTTGTTTTTCTGCATGCTCCCGCACTCCCCTGGTCACCTCAACTCCCCTGGGCATCGTTTCTGGGTGGGCTGGTGGGGATACGTGCAGCGTCAACCACTTGTTCAGCACGCGGCCCCCTGCAGTCCCGACCTGCCCCCTGGGGAGGGCTTCTCATCCCGAGTCCTTCTTGCAGGTCCGGGACCCCCCTCCCTGGCGCGCAGAGCGCGCCAGGGGCGGCGCCGGAGGCGCCGCCGGGGGGGCCCAGCGCGGATCCAAGAAATCCGCGCGGAGCGCCAAAAGTTTATGTTTATGGCGTGTTTCTTCTTTTAGAACTGGCACCCATTGATCAAACACGTTTGAGACATCAAGGCTGGCTTGTTTTTGGCGACTTCGGCCTCGAGAGGCCCTCGCTGGGCCCCAGGACCTGTAAAAAGGACTCGGGACCTGCAGCGCCAAAAGTTTATGTCTATGGATTTGGTTCTTCTTCGGTGTTCCTCCCCCGAGGGCCCGCCGCCGCCCCGTGGCAGGCAGAGCAGCAGCGCGGCCCCCAGCACGAGCCGCTCGGGGCCGGCCGCGGCGGCCCGGCTGCGGCAGTGCCGCGGCCGCGGCGCCATCGCGGCCGTGCGGGGCGGCCGCGCACCGCCGCGCCGCCTCGGGGCCTAGGCGGCTCGCGGCGCACGCACCGCCGAGCTTTCTGCCCCTCGGCGCTCGAAGCAACTATGTGTGGTGTGGTGTGGTGTGTGTGTGTGTGTGTGTGTGTGTGTGTGGTGTGTGTGTGTGTGTGTGTGTGTGGTGTGTGTGTGCTGTGTGTGTTTTCCCCCTCCTCCTCCTTTTCCTCCTCCCCCAACCTCTCTCCCTGCCTCTGCCACTGGGCTTCGCATGGGTGCCACACAAGTGTGGTTTGTTTGTTTGTTTGTGTGTGTGTGTGTGTGTGTGTGTTTGTCTGTGTGTGTGTGTGTGCTTGTCCTCTGTGTGTGCGCCCCGTTTAGGTAGCACTCCGCCAGCGCAGTTACCCTGACGGGCCGCCGACGCAGAAGTGTGTGTGTGTGTGCGTGTGTGTGTGTGTCTGCGTGTGTGTGTGTGTGTGTGTGTGTGTGTGAGTGTGTGTGTGTGTGTGTCCTGACCTCCTTGCACCACGCAGCCGCTGTGCGCAGGAATGCCTGGCAGCATGGCCTTTTGACGAGCACTTGGGTGCCTCCATCGCTCGCTCGCCACTCTACCCTGCGCTGGTTCGACGTCTTCTACGCCTGTAGCATTTGCCTCAACCTCTGGGTGTGGGCGCGATGCCCGTCCAAGTCCACTGCCAGGTTGCTTCAGCAACAGCTGACCGCACCGGCCACACACGCAGGAAGACCTTCGTGCCGTGAGTGACCTTCCCCTTTCCTCCTCGCTCCTCGGCCGCCCTCTGCCCTGTCTCTTTCTCTTGCAACCGGACAACTAGTACGCTCCGCCCCAACTACTAGAACACACGAGCGGATTGCCTCTGACGCGCCTTGACGAAAAAATGTGTGTATGAGAGAGACAGAGGTCGAGAGAGAGAGAGAGAGAAAGAGAGAGAGAGAGTGTGTGTGGGTGTGTGAGTGTGTGCGTGCGTTGTTTTCCTGCGGGAAAGAGAGGGGGAGTGTGCGTGTGTGTGTGTGTGTGTGTGTGTTTGTGTGTGTGTGTGTGCGTGTGTGTGTGTGAGAGAGAGGAGTAAGGCAGCTTGCGTGGCCCCGAAAGGGAGCAGCGGCACCGGCCACGACCGGCATCGCTTCATGCTCGCCCACATCCCCTCGCAAGAGGTGCAGTCCAAGTTCCAGGACGGCTACGCGAACATCCACGAGGCGCGCACGGTGGTTGCATTGGTGAGCGCCCTCGCACCATGGGTGAGACGGACCAAGAGCACCATCCTTATACTGTCGCCGTACAAGCTCCAGCTGACCCCCGTACTTGCAGAGAACCCGTGCTCACTCTACGACAGCAGACGCTGCTCGCGAGCGGCGCAAGGGGACGGAACCGACATGACCAACGGCCCCGGCTCCCTACGACAACATGGACGGGGCAGCTCCACCTCCTCTCACGCCACCAAGGGGCCCTCGGGAGGAACATGGATCAATCGCGCCACGGCGGCAAACGGCCTGAGTGAGCACTTCAGCGGGATCGCAGAGCTTTTTCCAGAACTCCTGGAGAGCGAGGCGATCAGGATCACCACAATCGACGCCGCACAGGGGCAGGAAACCTCCCTCGTCATCCTCATGACCATTCGGGCCAACTCCATGCTAAATTTGGGCCACGTCGACGACCGGCACCGCATCAACGTGGGGCTGGCGTGTCCACAGTGCAACCTCATCATGACTGCCGACGCAAGGATGTTCCGCACGGCCACAGACGCTGCACTCCATCACCTGAGCACTTGGGCCCGGAAGGCAGACCTTGCCTTCGAATTCCACATCAATCGAGATGGAAGCCTACGCCAGACCAAGGCCGACCCAAAGGTCTTCATGGACGAAATACCCGAATCGGCCAACCCTGATGAAAAGGCCAGGCTCGTGGCGGAGGCCGAGCGCAGACGGAAGGAGAAGGAAGTAATCAAGGCCCGGCAGGGTCAGCAGGCTGTCTTCCTTGCGCGCGCCGATCTACCGCTCCCTGCCGACTGTGGCTGGAAGGACCTGGAGGACGACGTCAACGTTGCAACGACGAGGCTATTGGGCTGCGCAGCACTCGGTCCGCGCCTGCTATGGTGCCTCGGGCTACACCCGCAACAGTACGGCGTCGCGGACCAACCTACCGACCCCAGCCTTCAGGACAGGAAGGGATGGAGCATGAACGGGTGCCTCTTCTGCTGCTCGACGCTGGTAGGACTGGGCGCCGGCAACCTGGTCTACACTGCGGTTTTCGCGACCATCACGCGGGCGATAGGACTCGGAGTCACGGACAAAGACAACGCACGCGCACTCGACCCCAATCTGATCCCGCCCCGAAGGAACCGACCGAACATGCCAGCAGCGTGGCATATCAAGGAAGCCTGTATCCCCACTGGCGTCCCCAGGCGCAGACCCAAATGCTGGCGCCCATCTGCCTGCAAGTGCCAAAACCACAAAGAGCCACCCACAACGGCCGTGCTTCATGCCTTCTGTAACATGGGTCCAAAAGAAAGCCCGGCCACAGTTGTCAGCAGCCTACTGGGCAGCACCGGCGCGACCCCGAATGGCACCCAGGCCAGGATCCTCCTCGCCCTAACCCTCCTTATACAGCGCGAACCACGCACATCTGTACACGTGCGGAGACGCCGAGGGCATCGGAGACGTGTTCGAGGCCATCCTCGGCTTGTGCGAGCCGCACCGCCCACGCGACAAGACTGCTCGTGACCAGTTGGGCGCGTTGTTCAGGCTCCAGTGGAAACGCTTCAAGCAGCTGCACTCGGCACTGGAGCTCCTGATCACAGCGGTGCCCCGCTTAGTCACGGTCGCCCATCGCCACCCCCTGGCCAGGAGTGCGAATTGCCCCGCGACCTGGGAGGGCCTAGTGGCTAAGAAATTCCCGCTCCAGTCCACCCTCGCAGCCATCGAGGGCATCGTCTCCACAGCCAACCTGTCAGCCTTGGCAGTCCACGAGTGCGCCGCAAGCGCGCTCTACGTCGACGTGATCGGATCCGACACCGGCCTCGCCAACGACCCGGCCAAGCAGGCAAGCAGCGTCACCTGGACAGGTGGAGGATGCTCCTACACGCGCCTGCGCCTGGACGCACCCGCCCCTCTCGGGCCACGCCCTGGAGTGACGCTAAGGCCCCCATGGTTAGACAGCCGAGACACCAGGTGGGGGAAGGAGCAGTATAAAGCTGACTTCTACTGTCAAGGGTGCCTGCGCGGCCCCTCCAAGCACGATAAGGGCGCATGCGTCAGCAAGCGAACCCGCCAAACCATCAACAGCAACAGGCTGACGGAGTACTGCCAGGGGAAGGACCTGACCTGGCTTTGCATATGCTGCTGGACTACGAAGGCAATGGCCGAGCAGCAACCCATTCCAGACGACGTGGACTTCAAGAGCTGGCTCAACGACCGCCCCGACGACGTGCCTGTCCGGGCAACGCGCGCCCTTTCAGGGCTGTATCCGACGTCCGTACCCACGGCCCTGACGCCCCTGGACCAGCTACTGGTCCCACTGGAAGGCGACCTGAACCCCCTCAATGTGCGAACCACCCTCCCAGCCAGCATCGCGAACGACGACCGCCTGATCATCCAATTCCACAAGGAGAATGTCGGCATCTGGCGATGTGATGGCTGCCCCTCCGGCACAGAAGGACACAGGTGGGGGCCGGGGCAGGCCTGCCCTGGCATGTACGGGCACGCCGCGGATCCAGAAGGATTCCGCGACGGCTTCAACCTGGTCCACGGGCTCCCTCCCGTACAGCTGATAAGGGAGATGTTCCTGGCCAAGCGCTGGCATGCAGGCTGGTACTGCAAGGAATGCCTGATCCACCAATGGGACATGTCCCCATCAGCCGTGAGTCAGGTACCCGACAGATACGGCCCCGACGTATACCCAAGAGCAGGAGCCAGACCTCTCCCCGCTCTACCGGGCATCCCCGCCTCATCGGCAGAGGGCGCATCGCGCCCCAGCCAAGAGGAGGTGCTGCGACGCGCAGCCTCCTGGGATGAGGCAGAGCGCAGCTACTACGACCGCCGCGCCACTGCACTGCCACCCCCCGTCCGGGATCCCGACGCTGCGGCTTCCGCCCAGCCACCCGCGGGAAGCGTAACCGCCAGCGGGGCCCAGCAGCACAACGCCCCCCGGGCGGGCGTGCCCCCCGAGCAGACACCCAGCCCGGCCCAATCAACAAGGCCCACCAAAGAAAAACGCGTGTCACCCTGCCCAACGCCCACCAAACCGCAAACCGCACACTAACGGAAGCGATTCATCCCTTCACTCCCGCCCACTCCGCGTGGCGACGGGCCGACCCCGGCCCGGCCGGCCACGTGACCCACGGCTACCAAGTCCGGCGGGGCGCCGCCATCCGTTAGCGCGACACCTGAACCCCTCGGAAGGTGTGCAGAACACGGCAGCCGTGAAGAGCAGCAAGGGCAGGTCCCGGACACGCCCATCGTGGGCTCCCTGTGCCCAACTGCCACGGACAACCTAGGCATCCAGTGCGGCGACTACGTGGTCATCAGGGGTGATACCCTTCCCCGCGCCAGATGGTTCAGCACTGCGGACTGCGCCGAGCCCCTAACGACACAGCCCGTGGACGGAGCAATTTCCGGACCCGTCCTCCGTATCCCGGCCCGCTAACAGGACGCGCGGACGCAACTCGCCCAGATCGGCAGCGAGTGGCTGGAAATACGGGGCGTCGGCGACAGGACGCTACGCGTAAACGTCCTCACGCAGCGCTCTGGGCAGCTACCTTTCTGGACAGTGCCCAAGGCAAGGTGCGCGGAAAGCAAGCACCAGCGCTCCTCGACAGCCCCACGCGTGGCATCGACACCGGGGGAGACAAAGCGGCGTCCTCAGGGGGAATGCGGGACGGGCCCAAGCTCGAGCCCTACCCGCCGCAAGCGGACATACAGGACCCCACCTGCGAACCTGCGCCCCTCATGCCCCCTAAGGAGAAGGACCCCGACTGGGGCAATGACGACCAGGCGCAAGAGCAGGAGCTGCGCCTCGCCGAGGCCCAAAGCGAGGTCCATCCCGTCTCCTCGTCCTCAGACTCGGACACAGTCGAAGAGCACCAAGCCAAGACGAGTCCTCGGAGCGAGCGGCGCACCAGCCCCGAGATCGACCCGCGCAGTACCAGCCAGAGGGCTGCCCGCGCACCCGCTGAGCCAATCTTGCGCCCAGAGGCCGCGGCCGACGACCGGAACCTGCGCGCGCGGAGCCGCTCCAAAGGCCCGGAGGACCCACGACCGGCGCTCGCCCCTCTCCCTGCGCACCTCCTAGAGCGCTCGCGCGGCAGGCGTGGAGGCCGCGACTGATGGCCCGGGGAAGACTGTCCGAAGAATAATTGAAACGACCGCCCCAAAACCAGCCTGGGGGGCCCTAGCCGACGCTCGGGCGCACTCCTGGAAGAATCGCCCGACGCAGCGGCCAGCGCTGCGATGCCCGCGACGTCAACCTGCCCCCCGCGGAAACACCGCGCACAAAGCCATGCCAATTGATTAGCCCCCCCCCCCCACATCGACCCCGCCCCCCCCGCGCGCGGCCCCAAGTCCCCGATGCCGGTGATCGCGGACCGCCAGCGCCGACCCGTAGTCGCACTCAGGACTCCAGCCATGGCGACGAGCCCATGGGACGTGGCTTACCTACTGGAGCGGGGCGGAGATGTTTCGTAGATGGTTCGTAGATGTTTCGTGGATGTTTTTTGCGTGCGTAGATGTTTCGTAGATGTTTCGTACATGTTTTTGTGGGCGTAGATGTTTCGTAGATGTTTCGTACATGTTTTTGCGTGCGTAGATGTTTCGTACATGTTTCGTACATGTTTTTGTGGGCGTAGATGTTTCGTATATGTTTCGTAGATGTTTTGCCGACGAGGTTCGCCCCGCGAGCGGATTCGGGCTCGCGCGACCACCTCGCTTGTGCATTGTAATTTACAACACTTCAGGGGAGCTTCGGCCCGTGAACAGAATCGGGCTCGCGCGACCACGGTTTCAGCAGATGCGACCGCGTCGTTTTCGATCCCTCGGAAATGCACCAGATATGTTTCGTAGATGTTTCGTATATGTTTTTGCGTGCGTAGATATTTCGTAGATGATTCGTAGATGTTTGGTAAATGTTTCGCAAATGTTTCGTAGATGTTTAGTAGATGTTTGGGTGACCGGGGCTCGTGGGCAGGCGGGGTTCGAGCGCTCGGAGTCCCCGCCCCCGAGGGCTTCTGAGTCCCTCCCACAGAGTTCCGAGAGGCCCTTTTGAGAGCCCTCACAGGACGTATGATATCGTTTGGGCCGAGCCCTTTCGATGCGTGGTGGCGCCATGCCAATTGATTCCATTGAACAGAGCAGCCCGCAATGACAACAACACAGAGAAGAGCCCACTGCGCGGCCCCGCCACGCAAGATCAAACCACCAAACCACGCGATCCGCCCAAAACAGTAGCAAAAAAACTGGGCTGACGGAGCGGCACCAAAATCGCTTCATAGCAAAAAAACTGACCTGACGGAGCGGCGCCAAAATCGCTTCCCAGTCGAAGCCAACCAAACAAAACCTGGACAGCCCACTACTCGCGGCCTCTACAGCGGCAGGGTGCGGGAGCCAGTCGCCTGGGAGTCGTGTGCGACGGCGTTGGGGCGCGAGTCCAGAGAGGCCGACCGGGCCCGCGCAGGAGAGCGAGACCGCGACCGCGACCGCGACCGCAACCAGGGCGCGACGGGGGCACCTTGGCGCAGACACGACGCCAAGGACTGGGACAAAACTAAGGAGCGCTACTGGGACCAGAGCCGCGACACTGGCAGGGGCGCAGGTAGCGCACCCTGGCGCCAGCCAGAATCGCGCGACTTTTACCACAAGGACGATCGCAGCCACACCGACACCAGCCGGACTCGAACCACCTTCCGCGTTGGATGGCAGCGCCTCCCAAACGAGACAGCGGTAACACACCTGAGGAGGCTGCAAGCGGAAGGGGGATACCACTTCAACGCAGCCTGGCATTCGTGGTGCCAGCACATGTGCAAGAAGCAGGGCAAAGGCAAATCCAAAGACAACGCGCCTTTCGACCCGGGCCGCTGGCATCATTGGATCATCGACAAATTCCTGGATGACATGAGCACCAACAACTACCACGTGGAGGCGTGGTTCCGCAGCGCAGGCGTCTACGTGGACTGGGAGCGGGAGCAGAAGCTTTACCAGGACGTGCAGAGGAAAAGGGAGGTCGCTAAGGGTGACGGGCGCGACGGGGACCAGGCGCGCCGTTCCGGGTACCACGACGCCTGGACTGGAAAGCGCCCGCGGCGCTGACATTCGTCGACCCGACCGCCTCTTGCCCCACGGCACCGCAGCACAACCAGCCAATCGCTCCCACCACCTGCGCCCCCGACCCCGACCCACACCCCAACTCTCTCACCTGGCTGGGGACCGTGTGTCCCTCTTTTCCTCACCACCTGCACCCCATCGCCCCTGTGGCGCCCGCGTTCCACGTACCCACCCTTCCACCTGGACCCCGTCCTTCCCTTCCCCTCCCCCCCCCTCTCCCGTATTCAAGGATCTGTGACTCTGTGACTCTGTGTCCCACCTGTGCCCATCGGCTGAAGAAGATTCAAGGATCTGGGACTTTGTGTCCCAACTGTACCCATCTGCGACGCATTGGTGCACCGGCGACTTGCGTGGCACGCCCTTTTACCTGCAATGGGACCTTGTGTCCTACCTGTACACATTGGGGCTTGTCCCCACGTGAGCACCTCGGTGCAAGCTGACGCGACTTCGGCTGGCGCGGGATGCCGGCCTCTCTCCTCCCTGTTCGCTTCTTCCCCCCTCGCTCGCCTACCCCCCCCTCCCATGGCGGCGGCGCCGGGCACAGCGCGGCTCCGGCCCGGTGCTGGGCACTGCACCTTGCCGTTTCGGCGGCCCCGCTTGCCCTGGGCAGCGCGGCTCAGGCCCGGCCCTTGGCCACGCGATCGTCGGCGCATCGTGCGTGGCCCCCGCCCGTCTTCACGCGCTGACTGTGCAGGTCAGGCTTCCTCCCTGCACACCACCGACGTCCAGTCGGGCACAGACGGCCCTGTTGCTGGCCGCACCTCTTGGCTGCTCCCTGGACGTGGATTGGACTACCACCCCAGGCCGCTACCGACCACCCGGTGGCACAACGCTGCTCATCGTCTTCGTGGTCCTCCTCACCTCCTAGGCCTCTCCTCACCATTTGGTGGCACACGTTGCTCATCGCCTTCATGGTGGACTTCTTCCCCCTGGACGTCGACCTGTTCACGTCCTTCCGCACGCAGCACTTGAGGATGGTGATTTTGATGCGCCATCGACGACAACACCACACCGCTCACACTCCAGGACTTCGCCTCCGGCTCCTATCCAAGGTGTACCTTTTCCTGTGCAAGCTCCTCAGCACCGCCTGCACCCCGCGCCCTCCGGCCGCCTGAGGCCCCGCTCGCCAGCGCTCTGTCTCCCCAATTCGTGCTTTGCGCGGCCCGCCTAGCTCTTAACCGGAAGAGGTTCGCTGTCGACCCGCAGACCAAACAACATGTGTGTGTGTGTGCTTGTGTTTGTGTGTGTGTGTGAGAGAGAGAATGAGTGTGTGTGTATATGAGTGTGTGTGTGTGTGTGTGAAGCTGCGGGAATGTGTGTGTGTGTGTATGTGTCTTTGTGTGTGTGGCGGCTCCTCATACCCTCCCCGCCTTCCGACTCCGCTTGGCTTATGTCCTTATGTCACCTTCTACCCTCACCGTAGTTCCGTCCACCCATTGAGCCTCCCCGCCATCCATGCCAGGATGGTTATGGCTGCTGTCGGCTGCAAGACCTTCAATGGTCTCTGAGAGCTTTGCCGGGCGTAAACGCGCGCTTGCCGCTGCTTGCGCTCGAATTTCTACGCCCCAGTCGCCGCGTTCCGACAACTCCTCCTGCTCGCCGTCCTGCTTGACCTCCTTAGAGGCCTCCTAGATGGGTGTGGAGTGGAGTGGAAGCCCGGTTCGCGCGGCGACCGCGCAGGGCACTCAGACCATATAGAAAGCACGAAGATAACGGAGACAACTGGTGTGACAAGGGAGAAGAGGAATAATATTGTGAAAACACCGACAATGATGATGAAAATGAACAAGTAGATCGTGAAATTGATGACGACAATGCAACCCTCGTTCTGGTGGTTCGCCTGCGGCTCTCCGTCGTGCGCCAAGGCGGTCACGGCGTCATTCGTCGCATATTGCAAGAACTTGTGCCCAATGTCGACATTGCAGTAGCCGATGGAGTTCACCCAGCACCATCTGGCAGCCGCGCAACTCCGCCTCTGGGACCGTTTTGTTCCCCAGATAGCGGAAGCCCTGGAGGAGAGGGCGCTGCCGATCCGGGGCCTGGATCCAGATGGCCCAGCCGCAGCCGGCGTGCGTGCCTCTGCGACCGCCGTCGAAGGCAGCGGAGAGGCGCCACGGCCAAGCCGGCTGCCATGGTAGCGCCTGTGCCAGCCCCATGCGCAGGGAACGGCGCTCCGCCACTGCGCGCGTGGCCATTGCGTCCGCTGTCTTGTTGTTCTCCCGGTACACGCGGTGCACCAAGCACTGTCCCACCTGCGGCGGCCTCGCTCCCCGGCCCAACGTCTGCCCCAAGGTCTCCTGTGCCTCGCGGAGAATCGGTAGCAGCGCTTGGTTCCTGCAGCGGGCGCGTCCTTCCACCCAGTCGACCACGATCTGGCTGTCCCCTTGGATGGTCAGGAGCGGCTCCGCTGGGCTCTGTCTGGTCCATCGTGTGGGCTCGGTGAACCTCACGGCGCGTGGCGGCCGTGGCGGAGGCTCCGCTGGGGCTCTGTGCGGGCGACGACGCAGGGCAGCCAGGTGCTTGCCTCCCATACCGTAGCGCTCCAGGACGGCGGTGACAAAATCCCCCCTCGTGTGCTGTGCTGTCTTCAGGATGTCTTGGCGCCGTGTCTGGCCGCGCCAGTGGATGAAACAGTCTTCGTACGTCGCCACACGTTTCCAACCGGTACGATGCCGCCACCGCGGCTTCTCCTTGATCTGATTCCACGACGCTCTCGACCAGCCACGCACAAGTCGGACGACCTGGACTTCGTCGCGCCACTGAGTCTCAAGTAGATGGTGCATGAAAGCAGACACCTGCCTGCGCACCGCGTCAGCACGCCCGAAACTGTCGAGCACGAAACCATATTGTCGTTCCAGAAGCCGTTCCTCAACACTCTTATGCCCGAAAGCCAAATACTACTTCCGCGCCGACTTCGTGGCTCGACGCAGGTATCTAGCTAAGGCTTCACCTGGTTTCTTGCGGACGCCGGCCATCTTGCGCAGCATGCCCCCTTCCATCTGCTTGAGGCGGAGCACCAGTGTGTTCGTGAGCACCCAACTCTCGCAACCGAGCAACAACGTCGCCGGCACCGTTTCCGAGTACAGCGAGAACCTCTCCTTCAGAGACAGTTCCCGCGATCGGAGCGCAGTGGTGGCGTAGAAGGCCTTGACAGCGAGGCGCTCTCTGTGCTGTACTGCGATGGCTGCGGCACCCGTGCGGTGCAGCAGCGTGCCCAGCACCATCGTCTCCTCGACTTCGGGCACAAGCCACGTTCCAACGACAGCACAGACCGGCAACGCGCGGTTGCCGGGAGTCTCTGTGACACCTGTGTACCCTTCTGGCCTCGCCGCGAAGATTTCGTCCTCGGGCTGGGGTACTTGCCAGTGCCACATTCTGTTTCCAGGCATTGGTGTGAGGACGCACATCGAGGAGAGCTTCCAGAACAGTCCCAGTGAGAGCATGGCCCCCGTCAGTGTGGCCACCATATCGTGCAGCTGCTTGTGCGAGGCGGCGTACAAGAACCAGTTGTCCGCGTAGCAGGCGTGAGTGTGCCACTTGCCGCCGGCACGGACGCCGTAGTGCAGCTCGTTCCAATGCGGCAAAACCATACCGAAAGCAAGGCGTGTGACTGCGTCGCGTCGCCGATTTTTCGGCGATGCATCGGCGATGTATCGGCCATGCACTGGCGACGTCGGCGATGCCTCGGCGACGCCGGCGTGGATAACATCGGGCTGCACATCGAGCTGCATCGGCGATGCATCAGCAATGTGGCGCGATACTTCGACCCCATCTACTTCGACCCCCTCTGGGAGGCCCAGATACTTGCACTCGAATTTCTACGCTCGTCGCCGCGTTCCGACAACTCCTCCTGCTCGCCCTCCTGCTCGCCCTCCTGGGAGGAGGAGGAGGAGGAGGAGGAGGAGGAGGAGGAGGAGGAGGAGGAGGAGGAGGAGGAGGAGGAGGAGGAGGAGGAGGAGGAGGAGGCAGGAGCAGGAGGAGAAGGAGGTGTGTGTGTGTGTGTGTGTGTGTGTGTGTGTCCCCTCCTGTGCCTGTGCCCCCCCCCCCGCGCCAGCGGGGGCGCGCGCCGGCCCCGCCTCGGAGAGGGCGCGCTGCAGCGCGGGCCCGCCGCGCTCCCAGGCGATGCTGGCGGCCTGTGCCGAGGGCGCCCGCGGGCTCGGCTCTCCCAGCGTCCCTCAGGAAACTCCTCCTCCTCCTCCTCCTCCCCCTCCTACTCCTCCTCCTCCTCTCCTCCTCCTCCTCCTCCCTCCTCCTCCTCCTCCTCCTCCCCTCCTCCTTCTCCTCCTCCTCCTCCTCCTCCTCCTCTCCTCCTCCTCCTCCCCCTCCTCCCCCTCCTCCTCCTCCTCCTCCTCCTCCTCCTCCTCCTCCTCCTCCTCCTCCTCCCCCTCCTCTCAAGCAACTTGGGCTCGAGCATTTTGCCGTCCCCCAGGTCCTCTGCACCTCCACGTGGTGCTTGAGGGACTTGGCCCTGGTGTCAGCCACACCACTGGGGCCACGACCAAGACAGAGGTTTTTCGTACGGAACAAAAGCACTCGTTAGCGACATGTCGACGCCCCCGTGGACGAGGTGCGACAAATGCAAGCGTTGCGAGTGGAACTCGATCCTTAGCATGAAGCAGCGGAAGTGCCCTGGCTGCCAAACCGTTCTCACGCTCTACAAGAAGCCAGTCCGAGGCACGGTCAGGTTCGACCTTGACGCGGAGGCCGACGACATCGAGGACTTCCACGAGTGCGAGGAGGAGCTCGGCAGCGACACGGGCGGCGGCGGCGGCAGCAGGTCGGCTCGGCGCAGCCGCAGCCCCTCCCCGTCGGGCGTCAAGCGCAGTGGCAAGGGCGGTGGCACTGAGGTCTCGCAGCACTTGCGCAAGGCCTTGGCAGCGACCAACGATAAGGAGTTGCAGAATACCCTCAAGGCGCAGATCACGCGGATCCAGAACGATCCGCCGCCGTCTGCTGCCAACCCCGTCGACGCCATGAAGAGGGCGGACGGGGCCTTCAAGAACGCGGACCACTTGCACGAGCAAGCCGTGGCCTCTGTCCTCCGCCTTCGCTCCAGCCTGAAGGCAGCGGAGGCCAAAGAGGAGGCGGCCGCCCTGCGCCTGGCCGAGGCCAAGGAGGCCAAGACGGCAGCGGCTCGAGCGGTGGCCATGGCAGAGGGCGTCCAGGACGCCAACACACAGAACCAGAGCCAGCAGAAGGGACCCATGTTCAAGCTTGAGTGGGACGAGACCTTCTTCGCGGGCCTGGACCAGATGGATTGCACAGAGCCTGAACGAGCAGCACTGCAGACACTCCAGCAGGACCTTCTCAACACGCGTGGCCAGTTGGAAGGTAAGGAGAAGGAGATCACACAGTGGCTCGAGCAGGCCAAGAAGTTCCAGCAGGACATCACGGACAGGATGTCCAAGAAGCGCAAGGGCAAGGCAGGCGACGTGGCCCCTCCACCAGAGGCCCAGCCTGCAGAGGCGCCAGCGGCGGAGGGCTCGAAGGACTTACCGATGCCCCAGGCCGACGGCGAGGACGCCAAGCGCACCGAGAAGCTCAAAGAGGAAGCGAAGAAGCTGTCCGACGCGCGCCACCAGGCGATGATCGAGACGGCCAAGGCGAAGGGCAAGGGCTCCGAGAGCACGGCCGCCCCCAGGCAAGGCGACCCAGCGGCCGCCGCCGCTGGTGGGGGCGCAACGCCTGGCCAGGAGGCTGGGGCGGCTGCCGCGGCCTCGGCTTGACAAATGCAGGAGGGTTCGCCTCGGGCCCGTAACGCAACCGAGGGTCAGGAGTTCACGCACATGTTTGTGGCGAACGTGACGGAGCTCTCTGACAAAGTTTGGAAGTACCTGGTCAAGAATTCGGCAACCTACCACTTCTTCGGCTTCCTGGAGACACATGTTCACTCCTCTGCCGAACTGCATGAATGGGACAAAGAGGCTCGACTGCAGAAGCTCAGATTGCACCGCAATCCAGCGCGCGAGTCGGGCAAGACAGTTTCAGCTGACAAGCAAGACAGATCGAATGAAGGTGGAGAAATGTTCCTAGCACGGAAGCATCTTCAAGCGCACCTTCTCACTGAAGCTCGGGCAGCAGCTGCTCAGTTATCCGATGTTGGGACGTCGGCGCTGGACGGCTTCCTGCCGATGGTGATTCACCAGGCGGGCTACAGCCTCTTGGTCGTCTTGCTGTACGGCTACTCTTCGATACAGATGACGGGCCACAACAAGCGTCGGTATGGCCGACTGGGAGGTTTGCTCAAGTCGGCACGCATTCCGTGGCTCGTCATCGGCAATTTCAACGTGGACCCCACCGTGCTGCAGGCCTCCAGCTTCATTCAGCAGGTAGACGGGATCATTCGTGTGTCGCAAGGAGGTGTTGGCACGTGCGCGAGGAAAAATGCTCCAGACTCTCTCTTGGATTATATGGTCTGCTCGCAATCTGCCCTTCCCTTCGTCAAGGATCTGACTGTCGTCCGTGATGTGAGCTGGAAACCACATGTAGGCCTGCACCTCACTCTTAGGAGCTCGGGCCTCCAGTTGGTCACCAGGGTCCTCGAGGTGCCCCTTAGGCTGCCCCAGGTGGCTAGGCCTCAGACGGCTCCCACTCTTGGGTCCAGGAGCTCCCGTGCGAAGACTCTGAGGCAGTCGGCCCAAGCCGAGGCTGCTGCCAAGCGTGCTGGGATTATAAATTCACTTTTTGGGGACTGTGTCCAGTCTGAGTCTCACGACGATGTAGGGAGAGTTGAGGGTCCTATAGGGACGGATTCTGCGACTCAAGTATTTGAACCAGAGCTCGATCTCGACGTCTGGCCTGATGAGCCCGATCCTTTGGGGAATGAGCTTAATTTCTGTCCTGACGTGACGATCAGCCAACATCTTGTCACGCCAGCCCTTGCTGCTCCTCCCTCGGCCCCTCTCCCCGCGCCCAGGACTCCGAATCAGCCAGCACGTGACAGTCTTCGGGAGACTGGTGCTACTGCTGGCAACGGTGCGTCTGTGCGCGGTCTCAGCCCTCCCCCCAATTCGAGCCAGTCCCCCCCGACGGTTCAAACGATCAAGCCACGGAAGGCACCCGAGGAGCCGAGCCCGAACAGACTGGCCCTGCCGCGACCCCCCCCGAGCCTTCGTTCAAGATACCGCAGGATTTGTGGTGTCAGATTCGGGAAGATGTTGGGTTTGCGTCAGGAGCCACTTGTTTAGAATATGTCTCCCCTCCTTTGCTGCACTCCGTAGCGTTTCGGCTCGAACCAAAACACTCCGCCACAATATCAGGTTTATATGCTGCGTGGGCGACCACGGCAGAGCGCACCATCCTTGCGCACCACGATCAAGCCATGGCTGGCACGCCGCATGCGAATGGTCCTCAGTTTCGGGTACGCTCTGTCCACGAGGCTTCGCACCGACGGCAGCTCCACCTCCGAGACGGTCGTGCTCAATGGTGGACGAGACTGTGCACAGTTGTGGCTGGAGTCTTGCGGCACACGTCGCGTGACAACGGACATGTGCAACTGGATGGCTACCGCACCGCTTGTCATAAGCTCCTTGGTGATGTTCCTGCCGACGCCCATGGTTTGCTAAGGCTCGATAAGGACCCGCCGTGGGAGAAGTGGACCGGGTTTCTGCGTTGCGGAGGCCAGGTCGCCCTACCAGTTTTGGAATCTTGGGAACGATGTGCCAAACGTGTGACAGCTCGGGCCCAGCGGATAGCAGTCCAGTCATCGCTGCACGACTTCCGTGAGTGGGTGCTGGAGCCGAAGGCGTGTGGGATCCTCCACAAGTCCCTGAAGCCCAAGGTTCTACCAGCGGTCGAGCTGGCCATGGACGGACGCACCATCTACCACCCCAAAGATATCATGGACGAGAAGATGAATCATTACAAGCAGTTATGGGCCCCCACTGCCGTCAGCCTCAGCGACGCCAGGGAGCTGTTCAGGCAGATCCGAGCTGAGGCGGTCGACGCCCCGCTCGAGCCCATCGGCCCCACCAGCATAGTCAAGGCTTGCCGAAGGATGAAGGCGAACGCGGGCACGGGAGTGGACGGCTTCACGCCCGTCGACTACGAGCGCCTCCCAGCAGCAGGCCTGGCCGAAATGGCCCTGCTGCTGGAGGCGGTGGAGGCCGCCCTCACGTGGCCAGCGCAGGTGCTCCTGATCCTCGCGCGGCTCACACCCAAGAAGAGCACGGGAGATCGGGCGATAGGCCTGGTCTCTATGCTGGGCCGAGTATGGTCAATGATTCGTGAAGAAGAAATCCAGGTATGGAGTAAAGAACAATCAGCACATTGGGACGCTGCTATACGTGGCAATTCTTGCCTCCAAGAGGCTTTCTTGCGCTCGATAAGTGAAGAGGTCGCTCATAATTTCAAGATGCAACATGGGCACGCTATGCTAGACATAGAAGCCTTCTATGACTCAATACCATGGCAGCCACTTGTAGCAGCAGCGCTACGACTTAAATTTCCTCCTGTTGTGCTCTACCTCGAGCTGGTGCAATGTGTAGCCCCCAGGGCACTAGAACAAATGGGCGCGGCGACGGACCCGTTCGAACCCAGCCAGAGTGTAGTCCAAGGACTACGCTCTGGCACGCGCTTCGCCAAGGCGCTCACCCATTTCGTGATGGAAGCAGTTGCGACCATGCACCCGCAGTTCGATCACAGACTGTGGATCGACGACTTATCTCAACGCATGGCAGGCTCGAGGAAGGCACTCAGGCGACAGATGGTGGACTGCATAGTGTTCACGTGCGAGCAGCTGAAGCTCAGGAAGCTGAAAGTTGCCGCGAAGTCCATCATCATGTGCACCAACATGCACGACACGAGGGCTATCGTTAAGGATGTTCGCAGTAGAGGATATGAGTTCAAGGGTGTTTCGCAGGCCACGTACTTGGGCGTCGACTTCGGCTGTGGCAGGATGGCCAGATCGACCAGACGTGCACGCGAGACGAAGCACAAGCAGATCTCAACCAAGATTCGCAAATTCACCAAGGCCTCCAGGCAGTACCACGTGACTGCTAAATTACAGAAGCAGGGGGGCCTCCCTGCAGGCCTTTATGGCCACCAGGTGCACGGAGTCTTTGGCCAGCAGATGGTCTCGGTCCGCCGTCGTCTCGGGCAGTCGGTGTCAGCTGGCAACCGAGGCAGATGCTTGACCACGCTGCTGGATACCAAGACGCCTGACATGGACCCTGCGCACACGTTGCCCGCCAAGGCCGTCGACATGTGGCTGCGTACCTGGCGAGATCACCCGACCATTCGACCTTCAGTTAGACGCATTTGGCCAGTTATCCTGAGCAACCTCCAAGGGAAGACCCACGCCGAGCAAGCGCAGCAAGTTCGAGGACCAGTCTCGGCTGTCATCCTAAACCTTCTGCGGGCGGGCTGGACACCAACTACAGCTTCCACGTGGAGTTTCCCTACAGGCCCGAACTCGTATGAAGAATGGAACTTCCCTGACGACTGCTACACAGGTGACCCGCATATTGACACGCACGATGCTATATTGTCCGGCCTTAAGGAGTCCTTGTACGTCAATACGTGGCGCCAAGCTAGTACGCAGTACCTGGGATCTGGCTTACAGAACGGAGTTGGTAATGATTCGTACCGCCGATTGGTCCGACAGCTCAGCGAGGCTGACAACGGCAAGAGGCTCGCGGAGACCATGGTGATGGTGTCCACTGCGGGCTGCTGGACCAAGGACAGGAAGGCTAGTCTCATCAGGGCCTACGCGGGCGACAACATATGTGACCGATGCCGTGCAGCACCTGAGACGGCGAAGCACAGGTACTGGGAATGCAGTGAGAATAAAAAATCGCAGGCTTTCGCCTCCTCTGAGCACCTCGTGCCCCAGGCTTTAGCGCAGTTTGATAGTGAAGAAGGGTTTTGGGCTCGAGGCCTCATCCCTAGGGACTGGACCAGAGTCCCTCCTCCTGTCTCTGTCCCTGCCTGGTCTGCGACGGGCGTTAATGAGGTTGAAGTCGGGTGCCTCGGGGTCGGGTTTCGCGAGCGTCCAGTAATCGTCGCGGGAGACGCCTCTGGCGGTCCCGACTCGAAATCACCCAGGCTCCGACGCGTAGGTGTTGCTATTGTAAAGTTCGCCTCTCTCCACCCGCTCGTGGTTGAATCCTCCATCTCTGGCCCGCTTTGGGGGCCAAGACAGGCGGTTGCCAGAGGCGAGTTGTGTGCTTTTATGCTAGCTCTTAAAACGACCCTCGACCATCTAGTGTATATAACTGATTTTGAACCCCTGGCCAACAGTTGGTACGAATGCGCGTACAGATCACCGAAGGGACCTGACGCCGATCTGTGGGCTATCATTAGACAGCTGATGCTCCACCGCCCCATCACTGTGTTTCTGTGCTCTTCACTCCCAGTCACCAAGACGAGGAGGATATATGTGCAGGGCGGGCGACCAGCAGTCTCGTGCTAGCCAATACTGTTGTAGATGAAATAGCTGGTGCGGCAGCATTGGCGTGCAGGATCCCCGAATCGGTCCGACAGCAAATTCAGATTCACGAAAGGCGGGCTCTTTTGGTCCGAACGAGGTTGCTCAAAGCTACCCTCGATTGTTTTGTTGCTGAGAAAACCGTGGCCTTGGAAGCGCGGGACAGGAAAAGAGAGGGGGTCCCGCCTCCCCCTCCTCCCCTTCCCCGCCCCCCCGCTGCTGCTGCTCTCGCCCCGCTCCTCTCGGCTCACAGGCTCTCGGAGTGCAAACAGAAGTGTTCGAAGTGTTTCGGTTCGGCTACAAAAGCCACGACTGCTGAATTCTGGAACTCAGTGTGCCCCCCACTTGTAAATGTGAATGGCACGCTTATGTCTCCAGCTGTAGGGGGTCGTATTCACGTCGCGGGGGGCTGGCTACACCCCTCCCATCTCCTTAATTATCATACTGCGCTCAAAATTTGGTTCTGTGGCCGATGTGGAGCTTTCTCGGACCAGCAGCTTCGGTCCCTCGGGAAGGCTTGCACGGATATAACTCCCACGGGTAGGGTTTACCTTGATCGCATTAGAGACGGGCTCGCGCCCAAAGCCCTAAGCAAGGCCGACCAAGAACGGCGGCAGCGGAAAGTTTCTCTGTGCCCTGAGGTTTAAGCCCAAAGTTTATTATTGACTGGCTCCGCCACTGGTTCCTACTCCTACTCCTACTCCTCCTCCTCCTCCTCCTCCTCCTCCTCCTCCTCTGCCTCTTCGGGAAGCTCGGAAAAAAAAAAACTCCAAACGTTGACGTTGGGGAACTGGGGCATGGATCCGCTACCTTGCCGCTGGGCACGGAGTGGGCGTGTCCTCAGGTCCTTTGCCCAATCCCCTGAGACTCAGTCCTCGGTTCTGAGGGGTCAATGAAGGGCCCAGGCCAAAGCTGACGAAACCTCTTGGGGCTTGTCGCGTGTCCCCTGGGCTCCCCCTCATCTTGTCGCGTGATTCGGGCCCTTGAGGGCCCCCGGACGGGCCAAGAGAGCCCCAAAAGGCCCTCAAGACGGTCCAAGATGATCCCGAGACGCTGAATAATCGTTCCAAGACGTCCAAGATGGCCCCAATACCGTCCAAGAGGCCTCCAAGAAGCCGCCCAAGAAAGCCCTGAGAGGCATTGACTGTCCTTAGGCTTTTGTTGAACAGGATTTCGGCCTTCTCGCCTTTTCGGCTTCTCGACGCTCCAAGGCGGCCCAAGAGACCGCCAAGACCGCCTCAAGATGACCCGAGAGGCTCCCAAGAGGGCCCTAAGACGGCCAAATAGGGCCACGAGACGGTCCAAGAGGCGGCCAAGACGGTCCAAGAGGGCCCAAAGAGGGTCCATGGGGCGGACCACGAACCGACAATTCGAGCCTTCCGCCCTAAGAGGGCTCCAAGAGGCCCCAAGAGGCTCCCAGGACGCCCTAAGCGGCCCCCAAGAGCCTCCCAAGAGGACCCAAGAGGCCTCCAAGAGGCCCAAAAGAGGCACCAAGAGGCTCCAGAAGCCCCCCAGAGGCCTCGAAACTGCTCCCAAGATGCCCCCGAGAGGCCTCCAGCGCAATCCCAACGAACATCCGATAGGCTCTTATCCACAACCCAGGCACGGTGGCGGGCTGGGCCGAACGCCATTCGATCCGTCGCCTCCTGTTGGCTTGCCACAGGGGTGGCGGGCGTGAGAGATCCTAGACAGTGTTGGTTCTTTTGGAAAGCTCCCTGAGGCTTCGGCCTGTCCCGCCGGGGTCCCGGAGAGCCGCACAAGACCGCGCAAGCGACTGGAATTTGCATACAGATTTTTCTAAAGACGGCCAAGATGGCTTTCAAGACCGCCAAGATGGCCCAAGATGCCCTCCAAGTTCGCCCAAGATGGTCCAAGATGGCCTCAGAGAGTCAAGGATGCCTCCAAGTTGTGCAAGAAACACCTCAGACGGCTCAAGACGGCCCCAGAGGCCTCGAAGAGGCCTCCATGACGGCCCACGAGGCCTCGAAGATGTCCTTCAGGGTAGGTCAAACTCATTGATTTTACTTATGTTTTGAAGGATTTTGGCTTCTGCTCCTTTTCGGCCTTCCGACGGCCCAAGACTGACCAAGCGGCCATCAAGATCGCCCCAAGAATGCCCAAGAAGCCTCCAAGACGGCCCCAGGACGGCCCAAGGGGCCCCCAAGAAGCTCCAGATGGCCTCCAAGACTGCCAAGATGGTTTCTAAGATGTCTCCAAGACGGTTACGATGGCCAACAGCGAATGTGCGCGGCGCTAAAGCGAAAACCACATTTTGAAACCGACTCGCCCTCAATCCGTGAAACTCTTGCAACATTTGAAAACGAATGTGCGCGGCGCTAAGGCGAGAACCACATTTTGGAAACGACCCGCCCTCAGTCCATGCAACTGTTGCCAATTTTGAAGCTCCAAAATCATACATGGTGAGGAAGTCTCAGGCGAAAGGCCCGGCCCGCCCCAAAAAATGACTTCGGGGTGCGACAGGGAAAAGTTATGTCTATGGAAAAGGAATGGAGGAGGAGGAGGAGGAGGAGGAGGAGGAGGAGGAGGAGGAGGAGGAGGAGGAGGAGGACGAGGAGGAGGAGGACGAGGAGGAGGAGGACGGAGGAGGACGGAGGACGAAGGACGGAGGAGGAAGGAGGACAGAGGAGAAGGAGGAGGAGGAGAAGGAGGAGGAGGAGGTGGTGGTGGAGGAGGAGGAGGAGGGGGATGATGATGATGATGATGATGATGATGATGATGATGATGATGATGATGATGATGATGATGATGATGATGATGATGATGATTATGATGATGACGAGGAGGAGGAGGAGGACGAGGAGGGTCACCCCAGCAAAGGGTCACTCCCACGCACAACCGATCGGGCGGTGCGGGGCCGCAGCCCAGGCCGCCTTCAGCAGCAGCAGCCGCCTGGCCCACCGCATGGCGGAGCCACTCCGCGGCCCGGCCTCGCCTGGGGAGGAGGATATACAGTCCCAGACATGCTCGCGCCGGCCACTCCTCCTCCTCGGCCTCCTCCTCCTCCTCCTCCTCCTCCTCCGCCTCCTCCTCCTCCGCCTAAGCCTCCTCCTCCGCTTCCTCCCTCCGGGGCCCAGGGCGCAGTCCTCGCCCCGAGGGAGGAGGAAAATTGTTGGCAATTTTCGGCCTCTGGGAACCCTCGCCGGGCCCTGTGACCGTCAAACAACAATGCAGTATGAAAAACTGGCACGGGGGAGAAGGTCGGGACTTCTGGGGACCCCGTGTCGAGAAAACATCAGAACCTCGGATGTCTGGGGATACTCCAGGAATTTTGGTGGTTGTGTTTGCTGTTGGTTTTCTTGTTTCTTCTGCTATAGGAGGGGGGGGGCCCAGGCATCCGGCGGCTCGAACAAGATTCGAGACGTCCCGTGTCCATTTTTCGCCGTCTCGAACAAATCGAGCCGCCGGATGCTCGAGGGAGATGACATGTCTCCCTTCTCCCCTATCCCCGCGCAAGCAGCCCCATAGGCAACTGCCATGTCAAGGATGAGTCGCCGAAGTGCGCTGGCCATTCAAAGTCGGGCTGAGCATGCTAGCAGCTGTCATGGGCGAGGCGCTGCAGCCCGCTGAGAAGGGGTGGGTGGGTTGGAGGGGCGAGGAAGAGAGATGGGAGAAGAGGATGTCAGGGGAGGGGAAGGGACGATGAGACCCGTGTAGCTCCTGGAGATTTCTAAGACGCCGCGGCTTCTAGGCGAGAGCCCCATTTTGAAAACGGCCCGCCCTCCATCCGTGGAAACGTGGAGAGTTTCAACGTTGGCGTCGGACAACCGGGACCCTCGGCACCAACACGAGAACTTTCGGCTCGGCTATGGCATGGGCATCTACTGGGAGACGCTGGCGAGGCGGATCAACGCGCGCGCTCGTGGCGTCGCGCGGCGCCTGGGCGTGCCCCTCGTTTTCTTGCAGGCCGTTGACGAGTGCAGCACGATTCAGGGCGATCCCGACGCGGGCCGGCGCCTCCTGAACGTCCCGAACATGCACAAGACGGAGGACATCCACGGCGTCTTGCCGGCCCACGTTGGCATGGAGGTGCGATTCACGGCAGTGCAGGAGGAGCTGAAGAAGAAGTTGGGGCTCGTGCAGGAGCAACGGGCCACCATCGTGTCCTTCGAGTTCCACCGCGAGGACGAGCGGGACTACGAGGAGTGGGCGCTGGGCCAGCTCTTTCGCCCCCGCTACCTACCGAAGGGACTCTGGCTGCAGGTCCAAGGCTTCAAGGAGTCCCCGATCTACGAGGAGGTCGCCAAACTGATGCTGCCGGGCGCCGAAAGCGCCGTTGAACGCCGCGAGGCCGAGGTGCGGGCTCGGAGCTTGCTGATGTTCAGGCCCAGCGAGCAGGAGCTCACGTGGCAGAGCTCGGGGCCGCACGCCGTGCGCCGCTCGGGGTTCACTCTGACTCGCGCGTCCCACCTCACTTCCACGCTGTCGCAGGGCCAGACGCTGCGCAAGGGCGTCACCATTGAGTGCGCGAGGGGCGAGGACGCTGGCCGCACGGGCGTGTCGGGCGACCAGCGGTGGTTGCACCTCTACGTCATGTTCTCCCGCGCCACGTGCATGCGGAACATGCTGATCCTGCGGCCGCCCCCGCGCGACCTCCTGGAGCGAGGGCCGCCGGCGTCCTTGCGGAAGGCGCTCGAGGAGTTCGATGAGAAAACAAAGACCTCCAGGGGTGGGGTCGAGCAGCTCGCCGCGGAGCTTGTCTTCGTGCTGCCTCCCGCCTGAGCGCCGCGGCGCGCAGCTTGAGGCCCGCGGTGTTGTCCCAACGGTCTGGCCCGCGGGGTTGTCCCGACGGCCTGCCCTCGCGCCCCATCTGCCCGCGGGATTGCCCCAAAGGCATGCCCCGCGGGGTCGCCCCAAAGGCTTCGCGATCTAGCCGTCGGCGAACGCGCGCGCGCTGGCCGAAGCGGCGACGGCGCCGAGGAAAATCGACTTGCTTGCCCCGACAAGGGGGGACGGGAGGTGTACATAGAGAAGCGGCAGGAGGAAGATGAGGAGGGGGGAAGGGGTGGGGGGGGGGCGATGATGAGGAGGAGGTGGAGAAGGAGGAAGAGGAGTTGAAGGAGGGGGAGGGGGATAAATAAAAGAAGGAAGGAAAGAGGGCAGAGGGGGGGGGGCGAGAGGAGGGTGTTTGCCATGGCCAGGAGGAAACGGATAAGGGCAAGCTGAACAGATGATCATGTGGGGTCCTTCCGTTGGAGAAGTTTTTAGAAATAAATGATTATACTAATAGTCGTCGTAGTAGTAGTCGTAGTCGTAGTAGTCGTGGTAGTCGTATATGTGGTGGTGGTCGTAATATGAAAAATATTATTCGTAGTACTCGTAGTAATAGAAGTAGTAGTAGTAGTAGTAGTAGTAGTAGTAGTAGTAGTAGTAGTAGTAGTAGTAGTAGTAGTGGTAGTAGTAGTAGTAATAGTAGCAGTCGTCGTCGTAGTAGTGGTGGTAGTCGTTGTTGTAGTTGTAGCCGTAGTAGTAGTCGTAG